ACACTCTTCCAAGTTTTTGTCTTTTATCATATAGACCTCATTGATATAGACAGTGTATTCCTTGTTCTTGTGTCTTTTATAACATAAGTCTCACTGGCATAGACACCCTTTTACATGTTTGTGTCCTTTATCACATGTAAGACTCAATGACATAGACACACTCTTCCCTATTTTTATGTCTTTCAAAACATATGTCTTGTTGACATTAACACATTTTCATGTTTTCATGTCTTTTACAACACATGCACCAAAGGTCTCCCTTTCTAATAAGTGTCAAATAGTGATTTAGATACCACCTTGTGAACCCACTCCTGGGGTTCCAGGATGCTTCATGAACCCATCCTGTACTTAACCCTTTCAATGTAGGTGCAAAGCGCGGATGCTAATCCACCATTCTACCAAATAATTATTTAATTTTAGTTATTTAAGTTACTACCACATTGATTATAAACTGTGTATCTTTGGTTAAATTTTTTTCTTACTAGCATCAACATTTATATTCTCTAATTTACATCTCCCAATTTATAAAGTGTGCTTCTCATTATTCTCTTACTCTTTTATTTTTTATTTTAGGTTAATGTGAGAGAACAACTAGGGTACATTTGCATATGTTAGGTAGAGTCTCTCTTATATTGTGTCCCACATCCAAGAGGTGTGCCATATACTCTTACATCGTGACCATCAATGGGAGCATGCCAGTCCCCCTCCCACCTCCCCTGTTCCACTCATTCTCCTTCCCCCCAACTTCAATTGAATTGAGTTTTTCTCTTATGTGGGTATTAGATCGTCTACTGGCTTCATATTAGTATTGAGTACACTGGATACTTTGCTTTTCCATTCTTGTGATAGTTTACTAAAAAGGATGTGTTTCAGCTCCACCCAGATTAATACAAAAGATGTAAAGTCTCCATCTCTTTATGGCTGAATAGTATTCCATGGTATACATATACCAAAGTTTATCCATTCCTGGGTTGATGGGCATTTAGGTTGTTTCTACATCTTATGACTGTAAATTGAGCTGTGATAAACAGTCTAGTGCAAATATCCTTTTAATAAAATCATTTCTTTTCTTCTGGGTAGATGCCTAGTCATGGGATTATAGTATCAAATGGGAGGACTACTGAGTTACCCAAGCATTGGATAAAAGATTTAAATCTAAGACATGAAACGATAAAAACCCTAGAAGAAAGTGTAGGAAAACTACACTTGATGATGTCAGCCTGGGGAAAGATTTTATGAAGACTTCAGTGGCAATCTCAACAACAAATATAAACAAATGGAGGTCAGGTGCAGTGGCTCACACCTATAATCCGGCGCGGATTGAGTGAGCTCAGGAGTTCAAGACCAACTTGAGCAAGAGTGAGACTATCTCTAAAAATAGCTGGGTGTTATGGCAGGTGCCTATAGTCCCAACTACTTGAGAGGCTGAGGCAAGAGGATCACTTGAGCCCAAGAATTTGAGGTTGCTGTAAGCTATGACACCATCACACTCTATCAAGGGTGTCAAAGTGAGACTCTATCTCAAAAAATAATAAAATAAAATAATATAAAATAAACAAATGGGGCTTAAACTGAAAAGCTTATGCACAGCTAAAGACAGATTAAAGCAAATACACCCCCTTCAGAATAGGAAAAGATATTCACGTTACAAATTTGACAAAGGGTTGCTAACTAGAATCTATAGAGAAAACTCAATAAAAAAGAGCAAACTATCCCATCGATCACTGGACAAGAGACATGACCAGAAATTTCTCTGAAGACGACAGACAAATGCTAATAAACATATTAAAACATGCTCATCTTTCCTCATCAGAGAAATGCAAATCAAAATACTTGGAGATACCCACCTAAGCCCAGTGAGAAAAGCCCATATCACAAAGTCCCAAATTTGCAGATGTGGAGAGAAGGGGACACGGATGTGGAGAGAAGGGGACACGGATGTGGAGAAAGGGGAATACTTTTTTTTTTTTTTGGCCAGGGCTGCATTTGAACCCACCACCTCTGGCATATGGGGCCGGCACCCTACTCCTTGAGCCACAGGCACCACCCCAAAAGGGGAATACTTTTACTTGGTGGGACTGCAAACTATTCTCTTATCCCTTTTTTTTTTTTTGCAGTTTTGGCTGGGGCTGGGTTTGAACCTGCTACCTCTGGCATATGGGGCCAGCACCCTACTCCTTTGAGCCACAGGCACCGCCCCTCTTATTAAGTAGTCCCAGAAAAAGCTTCTAACATAAAAAGAGAATGGGCTCAGCGTCTGTGGCTCAAGTGGCTAAGACACCAGCCACATACACCTAAGGTGACGGGTTCAAATCCAGCCCGGGCCC